TTTTAACTGATACCCAGTGAAGACACTGTGCTTAAAAAAGCAGACTAAAACACAGGAGGGTTTGTGGTAGCATTAAAACCGATAGATCTAAGCAGGTTGCGGCAGAGGAGTAACCTGCAATAAGTCACTAACCTGAACAAGACCATAGCAGCAGAGTATGGGTGAAGCCCAGGAACGCATACAGACTATGTTTCTCTCTCTTGAGTCCTGCAAATGTTCTCATGTAGATTTGGGCAAATAAAATATGCAGTAACAAGTAGTTACATGGAACTCTGTTTTGGATTCCTGTTTTTCTCTGGAGACCCTTTCCTTCATGTTTCCTTTACTTCACTGGCTCCTGTCTTCCATCTTTCTAGCTCTGCTGTCAACATGAACTTCAAATGATCTTCTTTCCTCTCCCTGGTCTTCTCACACTCCCTAGTTTCTGCCCCAGGTCCCCTTCTTTCTTCTAAGCTTGACCCTGTATGCAAGGTGAATTCACTCAAGGAAGCTGAGGAAGAGCCTTTTATCCTCAGTGTGACATGTCCACATAATGCTGCCTCCAGTGCCTATAGGCTCTGTGTACACGGCTGCCCTTCCATTAGGCACATGCACTGCAGCATCACATTCTTTCAAAAACTGTTCAGCTACATTGGCACAAGGGGAAGATATCCCACTTCTCAGATAATCAGTCACATTACTGCTAACACCTCTGACACTTTTGGTACGTCATGGTGATGACTTTGTTGTTGGCATGTGCACAGCCAGGCTGAGCACAGGAGTGAAAAGGGATGCATAAAGAGGCAGAGGGTTATAAAGTTCTGGTGGAGATGAACTCCGCTGTCCCCAGTGTAAGGGCAACCCCTGGTACAGAGAATTGCTGAGAAAATGCAGAGCAAAATACAAGTGGGTTTATTTTCAACTGTTTGTTGCCTCTAAGGTGTAGTCCTGGTCCTACAACTACTGTCTCACAAAACTGAGGGAAGATATTATTAGTCAAGCTCTCTCTAGACAGCAGATCATTACCAGCACTGTGCCAGTTCGACAAGCCACAAAGCAGAATGCCATGCAATTTTCTCTTTGAGCTTGTACTCCTAACAAGTTATTTTAGGAACCTACTTTCACTGGAGGCATCATGAGATTTCTGCTTGTCACGTACAAAGGCATATTTCTACCATGAGAGCAGCTGTTTTGGTTTGTTTTCCAATAGCACCTCTAGGTCAAGTTACTTCCCTGTGAAACATGGCTCCCATAGTCAGCAGACTTCAGTACAATTGACTTACAGTGCTTAAGTTAAAGACACAGACTGGAAAATGTTTCTTGCTCTCAGCAGTCCATCACATAAGCTAGAGCCAAGGGAAATCTAAAGCGAACAGGGTCTTTAGAAGATAGGGAGAAACCAACACATTTCAAACAGCGAAAACCAATTTTAATTCCTCAGGATAGACTTATTTCAGCATATTGTAGCTGAAGGCTTTAAAAAAAACAATAAAGTGAAAATCAGTGCAAGTTTGTTCTGCTTGTTATGTAAAGCATATGCTCTGCAAACACACACTACAGGTTGATGAATGAAAATCACCAGGAACTTGTACTTTGCCAGAGCTCACTGCAGGCCTTTGCAGTTGTAGTTCCCTGGATGACTGGGGCTAGCTCAAGACTCACAGCAGGTTTCCACCAGATGACTGAACTGATCTAGCAGGAGGCTGCTGTTGAAAGGGGCTGCGCTGCTCCTTCACCACCCATGCTCCAAGCTACAGCTGCAGGAGGCCCAATCTTCCCTCATGCTAGCTCTGACACTGAACTGCTCAGTGAGCCAGTTTAGCTCACTACATGAGTAGGAAATCACCCTTTTATTTGCAGGGTTTGGCTTCTGCTGGTTTAGTGAATTTAAACTGCAGTGGTAAGCTGAGGTAGGAGGCACACCAACAGTGAGCAACAGAGGCAAAAAAGCATATCCTCTTAACAGACAAACCTTGCAGGGCATGTATACTGCAAGGCAAAGCTAAACAGCAGTACCTGTTCTCTGGTAACAAGATCTTCTGAATCTGACAGGAATTTCTGCTTCTAACACTTGGATCAAAATTGTGAATTTGGAAGGAGTCAGGGACTGCAGGAGGAAGAGGTTAACCTGTCTGCATGTGGCCGAAGTCCTAGCAGAAACTTGCTGACATCTCAGTAAGGAGCAGTGGAGAGCTGGTGAGCTTTACATCCCAGAAGACTACACACAGAAAGAATGTAGCAGGACATACAGTGGTTCCAGGGCTGTTCTTGTCCTGTGATGGATTTCGTCTCTGAATCAGCTCAGCCCAACTGAGGAACTTGAGAGGGTGCCATAGAAAGCAATTAGACTGACTTCTTTGGGTGCAACTATTGTCAAAGTAGTGAAACATTACTAAGATTGCTGTTCCAGTCTTACAGCAGATGTATTTAAAAAATAATTTGGAGTCAGACAGGAAAATAAACATTCAGCTTGCGTCCTCAGAACTGGACATGGTGTTAAGTTTCAACTTTATTGTGTTAGGGCACAACACAGCAAGCACTTGTGATTGTACATAGTCCTATGGACTCCAACTGGGGCTGTGAACACTATGTGAAGTAAAGCATATTTGTAAATGTTTCAGGGAATTCCAAAATATTAAAGAGACAAGTTTTGCTTGCAATACACTGAGTGCTCAGTCTTGTTCTCTTCGTCAACAAGGTGAGTAAGTCCACGTTGCTGTCATGATTCTCAGACGGGCACACTACTTTTGTTGCAAAAGCTGATCAGGCTGTGTATGGTATCAGTCTTCCAAATGCATTATTGTTCAATTTCAAAAATTTCAATTTGCTTGGATCAAATTTGAGGCTTTTGGTCCATAATTCCATGTAAATTCCCAAAACAATCAAAAAATTTGGTCCTACCTCTCCTCTGCTCTTAATTACAACGCATGGTTTTCTTTGCAGGTTACCTGGCTTTTAAACTCCTTCAGAACCTGCATCTTCCTGCCTTTGAGCAATTACTTTATTCCAGCATTTGAAGCCATGATAACAATGGTCTAATTTGGATTTCTTGTCAGTGTCCTTTGTACCAATGGCTAATTGGTACAATTTATCTTCTAAGCAGAATCCTTATCTTCTCTACAGTCATATGAAGTTCTTTTAATGCTGCTCCCCAGCAAATCATGGAATCACAGAATCAACCAGGTTGGAAAATGCCTTTAAGATCATCTAGTCCAACCCTTATCCCAGCACTGCCAAGGCCACCACTAACCCATGGCACTGAGGGCCTCCTCTACATGGTGTGTGAACACTTCCAGGGATGGTGACTCCGGCGCTGCCCTGTGCAGCCTGTTCCAATGCCTGAGCACCCTTTGGGGAAGGAATTGTTTCTCATCTCCATCTAAACCTCCCCTGGTGCAGCTTGAGGCTGTTTCCTGTTGTCCTGTCCCTTGTTCCTTGGGAGCAGAGACCAGCCCCCTCCTGGCTCCATCCTCCTCTCAGGCAGTTGTAGGGAGCGATAAGGTCCCCCCTGAGCCTTCTCTTCTCCAGATGAAACCCCCCCAGGTCCCTCAGCAGTTCCCTATCACACTTGTGCTCCAGGCCCTGCACCAGCTCCACTGCCCTTCTCTGGCCCTGCTCCAGCACATCAATGTCTCTCTTGTAGTGAGGGGCCCAGAACTGAACACAGGATTCAAGATGCAGCCTCACCAGTGCCCAGTGCAGGGGGACAATCACTGCCCTGGCCCTGATGCCACACTGATGCTGATACAAGCCAGGATGCTGGTAGCTTCCTGGCTGCCTGGAAACAAGCTGCTCATGTTCAGCTCCATCAATCAGCACAACCAGCTCTTTTCCCATGGGCGGTTTCCAGCTGCTATTCCCAAGCCCAGAGCTTTACAGGGGGTTGTTGTGGCTCAAGTGCAGGACCCGGCACTTTGCCTTGCTGAACTTCAACCCACTGGCCACAGCCCATGGATCCAGCCTGTCCAGATCCCTCTGCAGAGCTTCCTACCCTCCAGCAGATCAACACTCCCACCCAACTTGGTGTCATCTGCGAATTTACACATCCCGGTATGGAGCAGTTTGCACCACTACAGAGCAATATAGGCCACTAGGGCCCCAGATACTGCTGGGGTTTCAACATCCCAGGGCTCCCAGTCCTTGCCACAGCTCTTCCCACCTGCAGCCATGCTCAACTCCCAATCCCTCCCAGGGCTCCCACTACCTACTGCAGGTGCTCCAAGTCCCTCTCAGTCCCTCCCTGTCCCTGCCACAGTCCTTCTGTCATGTCTCATTTTGGTATTTTTTTTTTTCAGACTGCCATTTTTTGAGCTGTCAGGCCCCTTAGCCATGTGCTTCATGGGCATGCAGTGATAGGAGAAGGGGGAGTGTTTTTGAACTGAAGGAGGGTAGGCTTAGATTAGACTTTAGGAAGTTATTCCCCATGAGGGTGGTGAGGCACTGGAACAGGTTGCGCCATCCCTGGCAGTGTTCATGGCCAGGCTGGATGGGGCTTGGAGCAACCTGGTCTAGCGGAAGGTGCCTCTGCCCATGGTAGAAAGCCTGTAACTAGACGAGTTTTAAGGTCCTTTCCAAGCCAGACCATTCTAAGGTTCTCAATTTCCTTGACCCATTGTTTTAAGCTATCTTTCTTCTGCTCTGAGCTTACCTGGGCAACACTCAGATCACTTCAAGTTTGGGTATAACACCCTGACAGCCACAAAACACAGCAGAACACGTGTAATGAATAAATAAAGGCACACATCTGGACATTGCACCACACAGTACCCCTCAGAAACAACCCCTGGCTGACTCACAGGGCGACCAGAACGTGTGTTACAACTGACACCAACACCCCGACAAGGCACAGGCCTGTCTCTAAGGGCACAGGAGAAGCTTCCAGTTGCCCACTCTCCGGAGCACTACCTCCCGTGCTTCTGCAGTGGAAGCACCGCTTCCTCCCCCTCCTCCGGCGGCGGCGCTTTTCTGGCGGTGGCGGGAGCTTCCCGCCGCCTCTCCCCACCCCCAGTCCCCCTGCCAGGGAGGGCCTCTTCTCCCTCCTTTTGTTCGTGTCTCTGCGCCTCGCAGCGGCCCGAGAGCTCCCGCTGTGCTGCGAGGACAGCGACTGGTTATTTCTCCCCCCTCCCCAGGGTGCGGAGGATTTCCCCGACTGCTGCATCCTGATCCTCAGGCTTCTGCCTGCAGCCTTCCACCCGTCGGGAACGCCTCTAGTTTCTCTGGTTGTTGGAAGCGTGCTTAGAAAACACTCCTAACGAAAATTTGGTCACCACCGTCGGCCTGACCAAAGCAACGCGTTTTTCCACTCCTAAAAATGAAAGGGGGCATCGATGTGCTGCTGGACTAAATTACTCTTGCCAGCCCCTGGCCATGAGGCTTCTGATTTCCTTCTGCTTTGTAGTGCTACATGCCAGTTCCAATCCACTCGTCTGTCAGAAAAAGCAGTGCCGGCAGCCACTCTTGAGCTCTGCTGCTGTAGCATCCTTTCTGATATTATGTATTGCAGTTTAACAGTATTAGTATGTGCCAATATGGCAGGCATGAAATTCCTGTTACAGGTCTTATTTTCTATTCAAAAAGCAAGCAGAGCTCTTCAGAAAGTCTTGAAGTTGGAGGCATATCGGACATCTTATAGTTAGGTACTTTTTTTTGTTTCAGGTTAGAGTTCAGAAAAGACAGTAAGTATATTGTAATGCTAAGTATATATTTTCAAAAACATAATGAAGAATAAACATGTTACCATTTTACAGTAGAATGTTTTCCTAGAGATCAGATGTGCTTTAGTACTTTAATATTTCTCCCTTCCGTGAGGTGATGTTGGCTACACAGGATTGTGGAAAGAATTGGTGTTAACTCTGAGCATGGAAATAATAATCTTTCTTCCAGGAGAATTCTTATGTTTCAGTCACCCATATATAGCCCATAATAGTTCTCTTGCCCTGCAGAATTTTACATTCAGTTTTCTCAGTCAAGGTAACTGAACTCCTTATGGTTTTCTTTCATCATTCCAAGTGAGTTACAATTTATATGTGAGTGTTGCTGGCACTTCTAAACCAGCGTAGTTCTGAAGATGTCACGAGATGATGGTTAATTCAAGAAAAGCTTGTGGTTTAAAAAAAAATATTAAATGCTTCCTTTTCGAATCATTAACTACACTCATCAAAATGGCTTAACTAAATGTTTTGCTTGTTTGTATTCTCTCTGTAATGTGGTTTTTCTCTTACCTGAATTATTGAAGGTACTCTGTTGGCAGCAGTCTGAGTTACCCTTAGAGTGTAACTTTAAACAGGCAGCTTATAAAACGTTAGGTAGGTGCAACTGTATTGCCTAGACTAGGGGGTTGCATGAACCAAGACATAACTATGTAGCTCACAGTAAAGCTTCTCGGACTGTTTTTCACATTATTTCACACCCCATCACCCAGTGAAACTGGTAAAAAGACAAGAACGGAGAACCTGAAGGGTAAAATGGTGATCATCGCTTCTATCTGTGGTGGTGTTTTGAATGTACTTTTGGTTTGAGTAGCAGGTGAAATTGTTGAGATTACTTGCTGTACATTAGGGGTAAAGAGGAATGGATATGAACAGGTTTGTTGTAAATACTTTCCTAGACTGATTTTTTTTTTTCTGTGTTACTTATGCACAGCAAGATAAAGGCATGTAGGGCCTATGTTTTATGGTAATTGCATATTAATGTTTCCTGTTCCAATATGTAACTACTTTGTTCTTATTTGCAGAGTCAACTGTTCATTTTATTTCAAAATTGGAGCTTGTCGTCATGGAGACAGATGTTCTCGGTTGCACAACAAACCAACATTTAGCCAGGTTTGTTTTCTTTTTGTTTCCTCTTTCTTGTGGAAGTATAGTTTGCTTCTTTAAAGGATAGATTCTCAGATACAAGTGAATAATTACCAAGCTCCAGATTAAGTAGTTCACTTTTGGCCCCAGTTTATATGGGTTTTTGCTTTTTTTTTTATTTTTTTTTGGGGTATTCCATTTACTTCTCCCAGCATTTCTAATTATCTCCTGTCACCCTTAATGGCTGCAGGAAGCGATGCTGTTGTAAGCTTGCCTGTAGTAGAGACCAACCAGTGCTAACTTTCAGGTGAGTGTGCCTTCTCAGTGGTGTTTAGGCACTTAAACCATCCCAGATCTTTTTAATCACAATGGCAGCATGTTCCACCTATGTCAAAGGTGTGAACTTAAGTCTTTTATTCATATAATGGAAGAAACTAATTAGTAACTAAGTGACTTGTCTGTCATTACATTTGCTCTCTGACCCAGGCTCATAAGTTTTGAGAGTAACGTACATTGTTCTTTTCAATGTGGAAGAGTTGTTTCTTGGAAACAACTTGCCTGGTTGCTGAGGGTGTCTGTATCAATTGACCTGACAAATTATTTAATCTGACTATGTGAATATTGTTGGAGACGTGATGTGTTACTGCATGTCTGCCAGAAAGGGGAAAAAAAAGGAAAATAAAAGGTGCAGCGGATGATAGGGGTTTTGTTATTATGACCTCTGTAGTTCTCAGAAATTACATTCCTAGAGAAGTGTATTATTTATCTTTCTATCACTGCTGATTGTCAAGGTGCACAGGTAAACAGTTTTCTTCAGGAATATTGTAGATGGCAGGTAGTGCTTATGAAAGTTGTTCCGTTATCAGTGATTTCACCTATAAAGGTAAAACTTGTATAGCAGTGGAGTTCTGTGCAAGTTCATTTGAGCTGACTTGGAGCAGAATTGGTGGGAATGGTGGGCTGGTGTCAATGTGGGAAGAACTGTGGAGGCAGGTACCATCCGTGTGTCTGGAGTTCAGAGCAGTGATGCTCACGAGGTTAAACTCTTGAGTGCATGAGTTTGCAGGGGGAGTTCCAAGGGATAGTAACTGGAGGATACTGGTCAAGAGGGACCACTGCCGGTACTTCATGTACAAAAAGAGTTTCCTGCTTCTGGTATTTTAGTTTGTTTTGGGTTTTTTTTGTTAATATTTTTTAATGTAACTATTGTATCTCAGAAGGAATATTGCCCATTTTCAAAATGACTACATGTTGCTGACCTACATGAAGGGCATGCTGGAGTGTGATTGGTTATTTAGAGACTTGAATTTAGGTCATTGGCTACCAGAAAATATTCCTGAATTAGACACTTCCACAGTAGCTGTCCTTAGGTTTGGTTTGGTTTTAAGCAACTCCCCCACACCCCCCAAAAAAACCCAAACATTTTAACCCAAAATGTAACACTACAAACTACATCTTGGTTTTGTTGTTTTTTTTGTGTGTGTGTTTTTTAAAACAAACAAAAAAAAACAGCCTCCCAGCCCTTTGTGGGACTTTTGTGGCAACTTTTTCCTCTGTCAGGAAGTTCTTGCAGGCAGCCTTTAGCTTTGTTTTAGAGACCGTGGTTAGCGGTGCCAGCTGATGTGGGTCAGCAGGGAATGTGCGACTCTTCCAGTGATGTCTGGGACTGCTTCAGCACTTCTCCTGACAGGTGTGCTGTGTTGTAACACCTGTAAGGTACCTGGCAGGTGTGTAGGGTTCACTAAAGAAATCTTTGCTTGTATGCAGATTGATAATCAGCTGTGATAGAAGAACAGATACTCATTAATGGAAAGTTACCAGCGCAGTATTTTTATCTTGTGTTGCTATTGCTGGTACAGCTCCTTTATATGGGAGAGCTGCATTAGGAAAGGTCGTGCGATCCAGGGTGATTCAATTACCACTGATCAGCAGAAATGCTGTAACTGTGCATGTTTCTGGCTCTCTCCAATTGTAGGCAAAACATAAGTTATTTTAAACCTGGGCCATGGAAGCACAAAGCTTTGGTTGGTATGACTGTACCCATTATAAAACACATGTGTAATTTTTAAATGTGATAATTACAGTTTTTGGTGTTTTCTTTACATAAGAAGTGGGCAGCATTTGTAGGTCTGACATTGCTGGTCCTGTGACTTAAGTTCTGAATTCTTACTGTGACTAATAATAATGTGTAAGCTAAAATTATTTGGGGATTGTGATTCATACTAACTAACGGTGAGCTTGTATTTTAAGTAATCAAATTTCAATTTTTGAGCTGCTTACAGTGATATGGACGTTTGGAATTTTTTTGTAATATTAGTTTACTAACTTAAACATGGTTTGTTTTTTCAGACAACTTGATTTTAAGAAGAACGATACAAATGTAAGGTTTCAAGTCTGCCTGGGCTAATTCTTCAAGTAAAAAGCAGAAGGGCTAAAAGGATATTGTCCTTATTTGAAGGATCGGAAACGTGATACCTATGATGCTATTATATTATTTAAACAGAAATTCCACCAAGAAATTCCTGACACACAAAATGAGACTTGCCTAAAAACCTTACTGTCTGGTGTAGCAGTTTAGACTCTGTGGCATTCTGTATTACACGCTGTGCACATAACACTGTTCCCCCCCCCCAGCCTTGCAATGATGAGTCTCATCCTGAAAGCTAGGCATCTCCATAAGATCACATAGTTTGACGTTTCAGGTGACTGCCTCATAACTCGTTTTGAGGATAGCTCTTGAGACAAATGCAGCTCTTTCTTGGTGGTTAATTAAAACTGTTTTCATAATATGATGGTCTGGATGCAATTTTGGAAGATATTCTGCAAATACAAAAGGAAATCTTGAGAACAGAATCTTACTTTTAGCTGTTTGCAAACAAGTTGTCTCTTTGCAATTGTCTATTATATGCACAGCAGCCAGTAGAATTCCCCTTTTTATTTTTTTTCCCCGCAGACCATCTTGATTCAAAACATCTATCGTAACCCCCAAAACAGTGCACAGACGGCTGACGGCTCACACTGTAAGTCCCACAGTTGGAGAAATTTTTTTAAAGAATGGTGTTAAAGAGCCCACTCCTAATTATGAGTAAATAATGTTGGCTTCTGAGCTGCTGACATAAAGCTGTTGCAAACAGGACAAGTGACGGAACTCTTCTTGCGCATAGATCAAGAACTTGTCAAATGTGTGCAGTTCAAAATGCAGAAGTGACTGCATAAATTGGTCTTCATGCAGACACTCTTTTGCACTGCAAAGTGAAACTCAATTGCGTAGTAACACTTTCTTTTTAAAGGGTTAAACTGCAGACATTTTTCAAATTCTTGATTTAACAAAAAAATTAAAACCAAAAAGGGATAAAAATAGGTACATACATGACGTACGGTAAGTTTCCCAAAACTGGGGTTTTTTTTTTCATCTTAACTTTTTCAGGAAAATGGAGATTTCATGTTATGCTGTAATTATTGTATTATTTTCCTGTGATTTTGCTACTAAGAAACCATTTGATGCAACCAAATTCAAACAAATTATTACGGCTGTAATTTGAATACTGTGTTTGGATGTCATCTATTATGTATCTGCCTGAAATCGTGCAAAACTGCACTAGAGTAACATTGTCAAATTAAAACCAGAAATACAATAATGGAGTGTCATGAGATCTCTATTACTTTACAGTGTTAGGCTGATTCAGAAAGGTCACCAGCTAAGTGCAAGTTCTCCTTGGGAGAGAATAACCACCTCTCTTTCAGCACAGACTCGGCTAAAGCGACCCTAGAGGAAACCGGTTTCTTGTTAAAATTATTTTCCATAATATAAAGTTGTTGCGTTTTGTATTTCAGACCATTGCCCTCTTGAACATTTACCGTAACCCTCAAAACTCTTCCCAGTCTGCTGACGGTTTGCGCTGTAAGTTCATACAAGTTCCTTCACTGGTTCCCTGGGCTTGATTGTCAGAGCTCAGTGTCGACTTAAGCTGGTCTGCCATTTTAGTTTAACAGATCAAACTGACCACATTTCATTAAATGTGTCCAAAACCAACGCACATCCACAAAAAAAAAAAAACACGGCCTTTTTTTTTGTCCCACTCACCTTCCTCCCTTCTCCCAGAACTATGAGGGGAATCTGTATACCATCTAATCAAAAAGGGTTGCAATTGTACTTCCCCTGTAAAGCAGTTTGGTTACACTGTTTTCTTCCCCTATGCCTTTCTCCCTGCTGGAGAATCTGGCATCCTAGGAGCATCCTAGGAATGTTTTGTGCTGTTCATTAGGTTCCACTGCCTAAAAGAGCAGTACAATGACATGTTGACTTCATCCAGAACAAATTTCCTGCTCTGTAAATGTTAAGAGAACTTGGATTTTAAACTTTTCAGACTGCATGCAGAAATTTGTCCTAGGTTAATGCAGCTTCCATTTAGAGTGTACTTTGGAAGAACACACTTTGACTGACAACACTTCCCTTCTGGCAGCTGTCCTTTTTTGGATAGGTGCATACTTAAAATTCCTTCCATGCTTTGAAAATTCAAATTCCAAAACCAAGTTGCTTATTTACCTAGACAGATACATCTTTAAAAGTATTTTTGAGGAGGGGAAGGCATTTGGGTATGGTCATGAACTAATTCAGTAACTCCTCAAGAAGTAGGAATGGGCATAAGAAAACACACCTGCTGTGAGACTGGCAGAAGTTAAATGATGGGGATTGATAGGTGATTACTGATACTGTGATTTGAATCCGCAATATTAGAGCAAAATTAAAAAAAAAGGGGGGGGGGACACACACCAAAAAGAATTGGTGTTATTTTCTAACTAATATTTCTTGTTGAAGTGATTATTGACTGTGTGGTAATAAAGCTTTGTTTGGCTATTCCTTTTTTTTGACTGTTGGATTATAGACTAGTTCAGATTAGTTACCAGCATTTGATCAGATACGCTTCATGAAATCATCCATTAACTTCAAAGTCAACACTGTCTCTTCTGCTTCTAAAAGTGAATAATGGCCCAATGATGTAATTTGAGCATTTTGTCACACCATTGCGCTAGATATGTATCAAGTTATGTAAGTTTGTCTAGATGCTTAAACAGTTCTGTTGGTTTGTAGGCTTTCTTGATGCAGATGCTTAGTAGTTAATGCTGTTTCAGTAAACCAAAAAATTTACTGTTGGGTAAATCCGTCCCTGAATTCTCAATGAGCTGGTAACTAATTTGCACAGTTAACAGCAATTTGGTCTGTGGAGCTGTTTAGATTGTAAAGTTGCAAGAGCCTTGAACAGATTCTCTAGTGTTTTCTGAATGCTGGTATCCGTCTCTAGTTTGTCTTGAAGAGCGGGTAGCTATTCAACAGAGCTTGACTATACCTTCTGTGGTAGAGCTGAAGCTCTGTTGTTACCAGTAAGTTTGCTGAAACTCCTGGCTTGTTTTCTCAAAACTTGTCCCTACTTAAGTACTGCATGTATTTTTAATGGATAAATTGGGTAGCTATTTAATGCTTTTGTTATTGTTGCTTAACTGTCTTCCTTTCTATTGCCGTCATAGAGGATTAACCTTAGTTTTGAACAGCAGTAGTTTTCCTGAGTATTTCAATTAGTACTTGGGCTTCTCAAGGTTCAGATACCAGCGGCCCTGGCAAATGAATGTTTATAAAGCCTGTGCATCTGTATGCTTCCCACTTTAGAAGGACGTTCAAGTAGTCATTAACTAACTGTTGTTTATGATATCCTAATATGACAGTGAAATCTCCTTACAAGTTTTTAGTGCTTGTCCATCTGTTAACAAGTATTATTATAGTATTTATTCCCAGTGTGGCTCACAGAGCCCCTGTATGGTATTCTTTAAAAAAAAAAAATAATCCACAAAACAAACAAAAAAACCCCAAGACCAATCATTAGGTATTAGTAAGCTTTTATCAGTGGTGTTGGCAGAACCCTGGGAATATAGTTAAGTATTAAACTGTATAGAAGGTTTGGTTTAATGTTTGATATTCCTTAATTTGCTGTATAACCATGGGGAAGAAAAAAGTTCTTAAAAGCAGACATGTTTCAAATGCAGAAACTCCTATCCCAAACTGTATAGCACGTTCCCCCTATCCTTCTTCAGGAGGTGAGATAGGTGGAAGGAAAGTAATGACAGTTCCAAAGAGTGTGTCTGGTTAATATTAGAGCCTTTGAAGGAAAATGTGAAGTTCATCCAAATGGTAACATTAGCCAAAAATGACTGAGCCCAAGGCACTTCTTTCTTTCCATAGCAGACTGAAGTAAATAAACACAATTTTGTTGGCTCAGTCTCTCTCTCACATTCTGTGAACTAAACCAGCAGTGTTTGTAATTTAAAGGCTAGAACACTTTTTCTAGAATAAAATGCAGGCTTCATTTTAAAGCTGGTCTGCTTGATCTTGATAAACCACTTAACTGCTGAAGAGCTAATACATTAAGCTTTAATGTGTACACCTTAATGTAGTTTAAAATGCTGTAGTCTGGAAGAAATAAATGAAATTTGTTCATATATTCTTACTGCTTTGAAAAATCAGCCAAACTTGCATTGTTTTTTATAGCAGCAGGCAAGCAGCGCTCATTTGTGAAGTCCAGCTTAAAGCATGAAAATAATCTAACCTGAATATATGGCTGGCTTGTCTTGCACTTAAAGGTGTTCTGCAGGACTACAGGAAAATGAAGTGATGTTCAAAATTAAACTAGGAAATTGCTCTCTGTTGCAGAGCATGATGGTACCCTCTTTGAGGGCACTCAGGGAAGTGTGTCATTTCAATAACTATTTTAAGCAAATGTAAAAATAAGAATTCTAGGCTGCGTTACATTGTGAACTTGCAAATTCTAGTGTAATGTGCTGGAGAGGTGTTAAAATGAAATTCTGGCTTTAGGAAGAGGAACACTAAATTTTAATCATGCAATAAAATATAAAAATATGCAAATGTAACAAAGCCACTTGCCTTCTGTTTAGGTAAAACTTGGTAGAAAGAGGGTAGGACTGTATATTAAATTTAAGTGATATTTAAGAGTAATTCCTTTCCCCTTTTAAATTTGTGGCATAAAAGTTTGACTCTGATTAAAACTTGTTTTTATTTGATCATGTCAATGTAATGTTTTGACATATACTTTGGGAACTCAAAGTTCTTCAAACATACTTATTTTTAATATTCCTGTTAGTTAGCTCCATGCTATATGATGTCTTTTATGCTCCAGACGGCCTCTCTAGATTGTTTTGTAGTATGATCAAAGTCTCTTCTTTATTACTTATAGGCTCTAATCGATATGACTCTTGATTTTTTACAGGTGCTGTGAGTGATGTTGAGATGCAGGAACATTACGATGAATTCTTTGAGGTATGTAACAGATGTAAAAATGTATTAAAGAGTTCGTGGATTTGTCAGCAAAATAAGTTAGGTGGATTCACAGAAAAGCACTTGTTTCCTCAGGTGGCGTTCTAAAAATTACAACCTTGAGTGCTTCGTGTTTCCTGGTATAACCTTTGATTTGGCATTAACTTTGCTATTCATAATGGACTTTGTTTAAAAATCAACAGCAGTTAAGCAGTGTAGCATTTTGATTCCATTAATACTTCTCTTTGCTGTAAACTTAAAATATACTTAACTATAGAAGCAAATTGAGTAAAACTATTAGCATCAAGGCTTATGTATAGTGTTTTCAGCGCATGTTACGTGTTCTGTAAATACTGTATGCGTAATGTTTTCCATAGCTTTTTATTGTGTCCTGTTAGTGCCCTAATTACAGATGGACACAGTACTAGCCAAGCAAGTACTAATTTTAAAATCAGAAATGTAGGAAAAAAAGGGGGGGGGGAGGTATTTTCCCTTTTTTTAAAGAAAGGACTTCTTTTATACTTAGTAATATCTAAATGCAGTACTTCTGTAGTTAAAACTAATGAGCTGCAATCTTTTAATGGGTTGTTTTGTGCTTAGGAGGTCTTCACAGAAATGGAAGAAAAATATGGTGAAGTTGAAGAGATGAATGTTTGTGATAACCTTGGAGATCATCTAGTAGGAAACGTATATGTAAAGGTAGGATAGAGAAACGTTTTTATATAATCAGTAGGGGTGGTATTTGTTTACTTTATAATTCTGAAAGCTACTGTATGCTTGTAACTTGTGAGAGTAGCTCTTCAGGACATAAGTTCCTCTCCAACTTCATAATATAAAGTAGAAAGTGAAAATGTGAATGGAATCTGAAATTTTAAGAGATTATGTGAAGTTCTCGATACTCCAAATCTGCTGCTTTCATAAAGATTAACACTTTTTTTATACATTCTTATAAATACAGTCACCACTGATGGCCTGTTCAGTTTGCTGAATTAATTTGGGGTCTTTCTATCATGCTGCCTGTTAAGCATTTAGTTATGAGCAGAGATGTATTCACAATGGTTGCATTTATTTTCTAGCTTCTCTGTTAAACAAAATGTCTTGTAACCAAGCTAATTTGGCAATACCTGGATGGTTTAAGGTGCAAATTGGAACACTTGAGCTTAGCTCTTAGAAGTCATTGGTATCTCTTGAATAATGAGCAAAAAGTTGTCACCTGAAGAAATTTCATGGTGTGTACACAGAGTTGGGGAGTTTTGAGACTGTTAGTTTGACAATTTTTACTGTGCATTCCTTTCCCTGGAAAGTAAAGCCTAAAATTCTCAGTTGTGTAGATTATCATCAGAAGGAAAAAAATGTTATAAAAAATTTAGGAGTTTTCAGGTGTGAAAAGGAATTTCAAATTGAAGTTTTACGTTCATCATAAAACTGAAGTCAGAATTTACAGAAATCTGATCGATTGAGAGGTTCAGTTCTTGTGCACATTTCTCTTAAATGTTGGGGGAAAAGGCCCATTCAATTAGGAGCATTAATGTTCTAGAAAGTACTCTTAAGCATTCTGTTTGTTTAAAGTTGTACTAAGAATGATCTTCTTCTGTTGACTAACTTTCTAACTTGAAAGACCAAATAGAACATAAGAGGAGACACTGATGTTCTGATTAGCTGATTCCTGATTAATGAGAAGCTATCATCTTTACCCTTGATTTGATGGACTGTCCCAGGAACTCTGAAGTAGCTTCTAGTTTGATTACTGGTTCTAAGCCTCAGATAACACACAGCTGATCTGATAGGAATCTTCAGGCCACTTCTCTTGCTTCTCTATAATATGAAAAAATGTTGATTTTGCTTTTAGTTTCGCCGTGAAGAAGATGCAGAAAAGGCTGTGATTGACCTGAACAATCGTTGGTTTAATGGACAGCCCATTCATGCTGAGCTTTCCCCTGTGACTGACTTCAGAGAGGCCTGTTGCCGTCAATATGAAATGGGGTAAAAAGTGACTTCCTCTGGCAGTATCTCTGAAATGTTTGGGCAAACAGGGTGGTTGCTTGGGTCAGGCCTTTACATGTAGCTTAGGGTACCAAAAAAAAACACTTCAGGTAATATTAATATGAAGTACCTGCCCTGAACCTCTTGACTTTTGACATCTTTTGTAAGATTTTGATCTAGGAATGAGTCAGAGTCAGTAAGTGATGCTTGCAGTTTACTCGGTTTAGTGTTAGAGGTGATTAACTTTCAGATGGCTAGAGGCCCACTAGGGTTTAGGGGAAAGAGATAAAGCCTAGAGGTGGGAATTGTAACTCTGTCTCTTGAATTCTGTTTCAGCGAGTGTACACGAGGAGGCTTCTGCAACTTTATGCATTTGAAGCCCATTTCCCGAGAATTAAGGCGCGAGTTGTATGGGCGGCGGCGTAAAAAGTAAGTTTGCTTTTAAATATGATTAAAGCAGGTAAATTCAGAGCCAGCTGCTGAAAATTTTGAAGGCAGATCTTTAAACTTAAGTCCTCCTCGTTCTTTCTAAGGCAGTTCTGGCACATGCCAGTGAAAGGCACCAGGTAAAGGGCATCAAGTGAAACTAGCAAGTGGCCAGTTAGAGCAAAGGAATAGGTCTCTGTTTAAAAACAAAAAAAGTTATGGTGGTTCGTGCTGTGAGTGCTGTGGAAGCTTGAAGGTTGATGTGGATATAAGAGAAGGCAGGGTTCAAGAACAACATCCACTGAGTTACTGATTACATGGGATCTGCCTGTGAGTCAAGTCTCCAAACTGTGTACTGTTGCAGGTGGACATTACTTGGAGAAGTATTGCTTTGCCCCTTCTCTCTTTTATTCTCTTCTAAATGTATTTGCTCACATCCTCTGTCAGAAGTAGGCTATTTGGCTAATGGTCATTTTGGCAGGAACAGACTGGCCACTTTCAACATTATGCACAATCAAGTATAACTATAGATTATATTCAGGACCCAGCCTTATCTTTTTTTTAACAATTAGTGGCCAATTTTTCTGGCCTGTATTCATTCCTTAGTGTCGGTAAGAGGCAGTGGCTGTACTGAGCTTATTTTTAATAGCACTAGCCTCACAATGTGACCCTTCTTGATAGAAAGTCTCAGTAGGGCAAAGGAGTAGTAATTCTGCTTAATGGCAACAAGTTGTGGTACATACATTTTATATTTACATTCATTTATTAAGATAACTTGTAGAAAGGCTTATATCACTACTGTTATGATAACACCTGTGTATGGTTCACTTTGAGCTGGATTCAGTCTGCTTGCTTTTAGGAGCTTGCTCTTTAGGAAAGGCGTATAAAGCTGTTGAGCTTCCTTTTATAGAGAGCACAATTATGTAATTTTCTTCCAATCACAGAAGGAGCCTGGGATGATGGAAGGTGTTCTTTTCCTATAAATGTCTTTGATTGGCAGTGTCTTAGAACTTGTGAGGATGAATACAACTTTGGAAAATGTAGATTGTGTTGCTTAAGCATATGTATTTGTGCCTAACTACTTTCACAATTAATATTAATTTAAACTCAAATGCAAGCATTTAAGAAGTTTAAAAAGATGAAACATGCTCTTATATTGGCCTTTTGGTCATTTTTATGGGTCTGGATCTCTTGAATTTAATACCACCAGTTAAAAAGTCTCACCTTTTATTACAAGAAAGATCAGACTTTTGTGTTTGGCTTTGGAATATGGTGGTTTTACCCATTGCCCAGTTTGCCGTATTTAAATCCTTTGTGCAGCTAAAGCTGTCACAGGTTAGCAGTAAGGCTAGATATTAGAAAAAGTGTCAGGGAGGTTTCACAGGTAGATTGTATAAATGAGACTAACCTGAAAGTAGTTCTGCACAATGAAATACATCAAAGTCTTTGGGGGGAGGGAGGAGAAAATCGAGTAACCCAGAACTTTTGAGTGATAGGTTAATTTAATAATTCTGAACAGCTCAGTGGTACGCAAGAGTGCTGTATGTCTCTGTCATAGTAAAATTTGTCACCACCCACACTCCCACCCCAAAAAATGTCATCATGTAACAATATTCTGCATACTCAAGACTTGTAGCATTAATTTCCTGAGCTTTTTAGCTCTGCTGATTTCTACACCTATTTTAAAATGTACTGTTTACTTATTTTTATAAAATCGGCTTTTCTAAAATGCTTAAAAGCATTCAAACCACTCCTTTCCTTGAAAAGGTCCATATAAAGTATAAATCCATACTAGCTGTGTTAGCATTACATGCTGGGTGGTCTTAGCTTTCTTCCTGAATATAAGTCATTGACCTCAGAGGCAGGGGGGATTATTTGCAAATACTGATGGCTTCTGGAAGGAAAAAAAAATGAAAAAAAAACCTACCCCCCAAAAAAGATAACCGAGTTGTTACTGCTGATTAATGCAGTTGATTTAATAGGAATGGACTTGGAGCTGTAGGGTTTTGATGTGTGTTGTTAAGAGCTGTTTGTAACTGCTGAAACAGGTGTCCCCTTCTCTTGCTGCTTTAATTAACAGCTGTGTAAAGTGCATTTAGTTCCTCTCCTTGCCTTTTTCCAAGGCTTGCTCATCCATTGGGAGCAGTTGAAATCTTTTTTAACAGTATATGTTGACTCCCTGGTATTAAGTTTGCTCAGTTTGTAAATATCTTAAAGGCCTTTTCCAACTTTGTTGATGCTATGTGGTTTCACGGCCTGAGTGCCAGTTCACCAGCCCTCCTAATCACACTGTCTCTTTTCCTTGTTACATACGTCCTTGAATGTTCCACTGTGTGGTACTACAAGTAAACTGGCAATTGTGATGAAACAATAAAATGTTCCAACTTTCTTCAAAGGCATAGATCCAGGTCGAGGTCCCGTGAACGTCGGTCTAGATCCAGAGATCGTGGTCGTGGAGGTGGTGGTGGTGGAGGAGGAGGACGCGAACGTGATAGGAGGCGGTCAAGAGATCGTGAAAGATCTGGTCGATTCTGAGCCATGCCATTTTTACTGTATGTCTGCTAGAAAGTGTTGTAGTTTGACCAAACAAGTTCATAATGAGATTTTTTTTAAAAGATGGGCTTCTGAATAAAAAATTTGTAGTGATACAGTATTCTTTGTGTAACTTGTTTCTTGTGGGGGGAGTCTTTTTAACTGTCATTCCTCTATCTTGACAAATTACCTGGATTAACTATGCCTGAGGGAAAGGTGGTAAATGTATTGGAGGAGCGCCAGTTTTGGGTTTGATTTTGGTTTTTGGTTTTTTTTTTCTTCTTTATTTGGGTATAATTTGAACTGTTGATGAAAATGTGTGTGTATATAATATAAAATATTATATACATAGTAAAAATAATATACTGCTTAAGAAACAGTTACTCACATAAGTTTCCCTTTTCTGCTATGCTGTCTGCTTATTTAGGTTAGTTTAGGCACATTTAAAAGGAAGGCTGTGCAAAATGCGTTTATTTACAAAGTAGAAGCGCTTAGTTAAAAAAATGTATGTTTGTTTGTTACCAGAAGTCTGTGCTCTGTCTATCACTGTGACTGTGGCATTTACAATAAATCCAATTTCTTGGTGTAACATCTAAAGCCTATTTTATAAGCACTCTGGAGTAGCTGAATTGCTACTGTGCCAGAGTTCATAGCTTAATCTTTTTTTTATGATTCTTCACTAAATTCCTTGTCTTTGGCTGGAAAGTTGCCTAGTGCAACTTTCCCTAGTGGGGGGAAAATAGTAATATTTTTTATTGCAATAATTCATAATAGGCAGGTGAGGTTTTGTAAGGAAATTTATGTTCTGTGCAGCACAATACATAGCATCTATTGAAGGAAATGCAAGGTCCTAAACACAAGGACCAAATTTCTCTAGGACTGAAGGGATTTTTTTTTCCACTCCATGTTCTCTTAGCTGTCATTTAATGAAAAGCATTGTTAAGTGTTCAAGGTCATAGGAGACTAATAGGAAGCTAGTTCAAAATAAGTCTTTCCACATTTACTAACTTCCTGTTAGCTTGAAGTGTGATAAAAGCTAATGGATAGATGGCAGTTTTTCACAAACAAGACATCTTTTTCTATCTGAATTTTAATTGAATTACACAATAGCTGTATATCTTAGGTTTTGTATCTCCTAAGGAGTTTAAGCTCTAAATGAAATGTTGCTGGAACATCTTGAGAGAGAATTTGTACAATGGCTGGCTTGCAGTTTAACTTTGTCTGCTTTTATTCAAAGTGGAACATAGTAAGACATTTTGGTCAGTGGTCATATTTCTACAAGATACAACTTGATGTACTTGAAGGTATGTAATAGAGCTTTCCAGAGGAGGAGAGAATTTACTAGTCCTGTTTTAGTTCTGAGTCAGATAACTTGCTAAATTATAAATTTGCTCCATTATTAATCTTCAAAACAAAAGAACATAGATTAACAAACCAGCTTCTCTCTGCCTCCAAAGTAAGTATAAAGCTTTTGCTCACTGGAACTTGGAGTTGGGAAACAAAATAATATTGAAAAAAGAGCTGTTCTAAATTAATCTGCTTTGCCAGTAACCTTTTAAAAGAAGCATATCCCTCTGAAGTTGGCTTCACTGCTTATGTTTTGTTGCAAATACATGAATCAAATTATGCTTTCTTTTCGCTGGAGAAATTGAGCAGTGCCTGGCAAAAAGTAGCTGAGCTGACACCTGTGGTATTTCTGCTAGGTGTTAGTAATCTAACATTGATAATTCAGTTCTTGCAGTTTACAGGATATGAATCTAGTTCCCTTTCCTCTTCAGTGAAATGTAAGATTATTAATGAGCTAACTTAAATCTTGGGCTCAAAAAGATGAGGATAGTCTTTCTTGTTTTCAAACCAGTATCTAGTGTAATGGCGGAACTGCTTAAAAAGGTTTACGATTATTTTCCCATAGAGTAATGACACAAGCTGATTTGCTGTATAAACAAGTTAAACTATAAATGTGTCCCTGTAATGGCTTTCATCTGTTTATTTAAGCCCTGTTAAACTGCAGGTATATTTCTGTATGAACAGATAGCAGAAGATTGATTTCTCCCTCTAGCCCAGTATTTCTTTAAAAAAGCCCTCTTGAATTCCACCAAATGGTCTGACTGCACAGCTGTCCAAAAGTTAACCATGTAACTGGAATATGTCATAATGGGCACTGAAAGCAATGGATTTTGCTGGATACTCGAAGGAAAAAAAAACTTGTGCATCAACCATTACCTGATTGTGTAATGATTACCTAGTGACAGCATTCAACATACAAACTAAGCTCATGACCTAACTTCACTTAGGTTCACCTTTGAAGACTGTATTACCAGTAAAATTCATCACATTTGAAATTTAAAACTGCACAAATTTGGCTAAACACACATCGTAGTCCAAACTGTATTGGCTTTACCAATACAAACCAAGTGGAAATCCTACCTTCCCCTTCTGTAGTTGCTCATAATGTCTTAGAGTAAGATTACTTCTCCCCACCCCTTCCTCCTTGAGATACCTACTTTTCACAAGAAATATCTCACAAATATTTCATTGTTAAGTCTTCTGTTAAACTTTAGATCCTAATTTATGGAATTCCTTTACCTCAAATAAGTGACAGCATAAGGTATTTTTTGAAGTCTGAGTCAGTTAGGTTGAAACTGTTAATCCCAAGTGGCTTCCTCTTCTTTGTATTTGGCTCTTATTCTGTGAAAATACTGCTTGTCCATGAATATGATGTATGTTGAGACTGTAAAACCAAATGGAGAAAACTTGCTCAAAATAAAGCCTTGTTTTTATAAGAACCTTACAAAATTTATCCCGTTCCTTTAGATGGGATGCTGCTCTTAAATGACTAATGAGGACATGGACTTCAAGTTTCAGATTTTTAGCTCTTGTCTGTCTTGAGCTAATTTTGAGTGATTATTCTTTGCCTTCTGTTTCTTAAAGCTGATGAAGCTTGTCTTCATCTAAAAAACCCAAAACAACAAAACACCTGTCATCTCCATATTTACTTGATAAAGTTGAAGTATCAAGAGTGCAACTTGGGGTTAGGAGTTAGGGTTTGGTTTGGGTTTTTTTGGTTGTTTTTTTTTTTTTTTAAATGAATAAGGCTTCTGGTTGAGAGATCCTGCAAGTTTCTGGTGTGGTCTGTAGAGGACAAGAAGGCTCCATTTTGACGGAAGGAGCATGTTTGATTGAAAGAAGTCACGGTTATAAAAGACGATTCTTAAGGTTGCGTTGTTCAAACTACAAAACTTTGGGTGTTAATAACCACACCTATCGCTACAGTTGTACAACAACACATTAAACTGCACCTGCTGTCTTTAGTACATCAGAAATGAAGCTGCTTTCAGGGCAGGAGGGATGTCAATCTCTCCATTCTCCAGACACTTGTAGCTGCTGATGCTGTAGCACTGATGACTGCCCCACAAGACAGTCCTGTTCAGGAAAAGTGAGAGCTAAAAAAGAGAACCAAGTTGGTGTGTGGCCATTCCAGCTGGTAAAGAACTGCTAATTGAAAGGCTGTCAGAGGAGAGAATAATTGTGCCTGTATTTGACGTTTATTGCAAGGATGACACTGAGCTGTGTTACTGTAGAGCACAATTTTGCCTTGGAGTGCATGAATTTCAGTTTTGAAAATATAAAAATTGCAGGTAAATGTCTCGAATAAATCAGTATCTCGTCATGTTGAATTGCTATGTTCTAAATTGATGCTGAATTGATACATGCTAAAGCTGTGCACAAGTATTTCTGAACTCATCCAATTAGCCAGTGTTACTTTTGGTGTTATTTTTACAAATTTCTCCAAATTATTTTTCTTTTTGCAGTTCTCATTTTGTTAAATCCACATATATGGAAAATTGAGCATGTCTCCTGGAATATGTGAATAATCCTTCCTTGTCTGCAATGTGCTCCTTGGTCATAAACATCTAATCCCCTGTTAATGCATTACATGCTTTATTTCTTACAATCATAACCTTCAGCAGGAGGAACCACAAGGGAAAGGCCACTGCTGTCCTGTACCACGAGCCCGTAGTACTTCAGTAAGGGCAGAACCACTTTAGAAGGTCCCCATTTTCCTGCTGGAGCTTACTGCCACAAAACTGATCTACAGCTGTAGACTGGATTTGTGGATAACAAACCAGATCTGCTGCCAGCAAACCAGCTCTGGTAGCCAGTGGCTTCATGTCCACACCTGAAAAGTGGGAGGGATGAGGGTGTGCTTATCTCTGTTAAGATGCAAAAGCCTCCTTAGCGATGCTCTGATAATCACTGGACTCAGCACAACTTCCTAATTTCAGTTTTGGTGTGTGCTTTGTAACAACATTGCTTTGATAGGACCAAAGGCAAGTTACTCACATTTGTACATCCGGAGAGCAGAATGGTGATAGCTTCTGAGGGAGCAGTGGGATGCCAGTGAGGCTGGTGGGGAGCTGTACCCCTGGGCAGCTTCTGTGGGTGTGGTTGCCTCTTTGATCTAAGTACCTTAGTGATATTCAGAGCTCTGCAAGCTGTTCCCACTAGGAAGAGAAAACTAGTATGTCTCAGGTACTCCTTCCAAACCCATGCATTTTTGACAGAGGTATGCAGAGCACTGTCTTCCTGGCCACTGTGAAACCAGTGTGCTGAGGACCACTTCCAGCTCCCAATTGCAAACTGCATGTTTAGTGAAGTCTAGAGGAAGAAAAATTGTCTCTGCTCTGCTTTCAGTGACAAAGCAGCAGACGGCAGTCAAGCCAGTCTCCCTACCTCCTCACTTTCCACAGAAAAGCCTTTTTAGTCTGCCAGGCTTAGGCCTGCTGTGCTCTTGCCAGCACCTGGCTTGGTTTCAAGTCTGCTACCTATGCGGCTGAGCGTTGGATGTGTTTCAGATTGCTCTCACTTTCTTCCTGGAGCTGTCTGGGATTAGAGCCAGGCTGAGGGAGAGACTGAGCTGCTCCCACTGCAGCATGTATACCAGCCTGCCTCCTGGGCCTGAGACCTGCGGGAAGAGCCACACGGAGCAACCGCTCCTCCCTTTCCTACCCACCCATTTCCCTGGAGAGCTCATTCTGCTTGTGCCTAGGAGAGAGATGAGAACACAGATCAAAACAGCCCTGAATCTTCCATCATATCCTCTTCCTTCCTCCCTCGCTTCTAGTGAATATGGAGGACGCTGCTTCTGTTTTTCTCTTGTATTGGTGGAGAAAAAACTCCTGGAGCTACAGAAGGGAAAAACTTGGTAAGGGGACTCTGAGGCAGAACATGAAGAACTGGTTTGTGGACAAAGCACAAGTGGAAAGTGAGCAGATAGCCCTACTGACTTTGGGATTGCATGCAATGTTAACCCTTACATTGCCGGACTGGGGATGGGAAAGGGAAATTCCAAGGTCTAAGACAGCCCAAAATCTGGCCAAGTAGTAGTCTCAGTAATGTCTGGGGTTTGACTCATTATTTCTTTTTTTGGGTATTATTTTTTTACCTTTTAATGTGGCAGTGTTGACCACAACAAAGAGACATTTAACCACCCTTCTTGCTCAGCCTACAAGGACGCAAGCCTTGTGCTTTTGGACCTGCCAGAGAAAAACATCTTCGGCAAAGGAAATAGATACATAATGAAGAGGG